CTACTCTGGTGAAAGTATTATTGTAAAAATAAAAAATTGAGAACATTTAAAAAATAAGAGAAGAGAGAACACCACACTGAATAAAAGCACTACATTTTACACACAGTTGATTTAACACTTTGCTTACCCCTTTTAACCTTTTGATCACCCCGTCACCTAGCCAGTGCCATTAGTACAGTGTCATTATATAGAATTTTGCACTGATCATTGTATTACAGCCACTAGCAACATCAGATAGTGTCAGGGTCAGTTAGCGCCCCTCCCAGCCAGGGTCAGCTAGCGGGATTGCCCGCACACTATCGCACTCGCGCTTTAGGTCACCTATCACCGTCATAACTAGTATAGTGTGTGTACGGATCAATATATTGATAATGAACAGAACTATACTAGTGCCTCCTTTTGTATAGTGTCCCCAAAGAGGCAATTTTAGCAGGATCAACCCCATTCTCTGTCAGTACTAGCGTTTTATCCTCTCTGCTGATTTTCATGGAAGATTTGTATTGATTGTGGGCCAAAGCAATTTACAGGCATAACAATACATTGCCGCCCACCAAAATTTAGCTCTTGCCAGCAAATTCGCATGGAAACCTGTTAATGATTTCTGAATTTAAAAAACCTTTGGGCCAGGACTCAACATAGGCGTTAGAAAAAAGAATGAATTGCGGCAATATTGGTCCATAGACCCAAATTATCATATGTCCATATTCTCTGCTGTCACATATATGCCCAGCAAGGACCAGCAATGTACTGGTACGTCACTGAATTTTGAGTGGTTATACCAGGATGATGCCCAGCTACAGACATCATCCTGGTATTGTTTTTTTTTTTTCGGCTGGACATCATCCTGGTGTTTTTCAAAGCAATCCTAGCGGCTAATTAACCGCTGGATCGCTTTTACAAGCAGTGGGAAAGGATGCCCCCTTCGCCGCCTTCCACAGCTTTCTCAGGCTCTAGCATCCCACCAAGGAACTCAAGGATTCTGCGGAGTGACCAAGAGCTAATCAGAGACCTGAATGGCTCCAATCATCTATGTGGTCTAAGAAGGTGGAAGCAATAGGCATTTCACCATTTCGATTTCGCAGGATATAAACAGCACCATTTTAAAATTGGGAAAGCATCTAATCACACCACTCTTGCTTTAAGGGCAGAGGAGAGATCTAAAGTCTAATTGACTCCAGATTTCTCAGGAAAGAGTACTTGTCACTGCCTATTGCTATAGGGACGTAAAAAAAAAAAAACCACAGCAGTTCATGGCATCCAATCAGCTTTTATCTTTCATTTTAAAACTTAAGGTTGTATTAGGCCCTCAGTTTTTCTAAAGGCAGAAGGTGTTTTTTTATGTTAATACATTCTATGCATTAGGACAAAAAAATCTGCATGCTGCCCATAAATACCTGAGCCCAACTTCTCATTCCAGCAATCTGCATGAGAGTGGTGTCTGTCTCTGTCTCCTCATTGGACAGAGAGGCAGCAGTGGGAGTCATTGGCTCCTGCTGCTGTAAATCACAGGCAGTGGGGAGAGAGGCCACACCGCAAGTTTTGTGTCAGTGGACACAAAGAGCCACCTCAGATCCGAGCAAGCTTGAGTACCCCCAGAGCAAGAAGCTGGCTATGGGGGCACTTGGCAGGGGGTGGAGCCAAGAGTGCCGGCGGGGGACCCCAGAAGATGAGGATTGGGGCTGCTCTGTGCAAACCATTATACAAAGCAGGTAAGTGTAATTTTTTTAAATGCCTTTTAGAATCACAAAAAATATACTTGGTCAGTGCTGCTTCCCTAAACTTCTGATCTTTACATGAATGAGTTAACAGTAGCCAGTGCACTCTCCAGCTAGTCTTCTAGTTTGGAAAAAGGAGAGGGAAGGAGGAGCCGGAAATATCCTTGCCTCCCTTGGCTGTGGGACTGTGTGTTTCTATTGAAGCACACATGGTAGGAGACATAACTCTAGTCCCTGCAGGCAATGGTGGTGCCAAAGGACACTGCCAGAGAAGAACCACTCTAAAACGGGAACCCTGGGATGGCACTCATGGTTATTATTATTATTATTACATCGAGTTTATATAGCGCCAAAGGGTTTGCTCAGCGCTGTACAATATAGGGGGGACAATACATGGCACAGTACAACAATAACAAACAACGTATGAGGGGTAAGAGGGCCCTACTCTTTCGAGCTTACAATCTAGGAGGGAGGGGGTAGTGGTACAGTAGGAAGTGGCTGAGGGAATGAAGTGGTGGGGAGGAATGAGGGAGAATGGCCGTTAGGTGAGGGTGGGGTAGGCTTCCCTGAAGAGATGGGTTTTGAGGGAGCGCCTGAATGTGAGGAGGGAAGGCGACAGTCTGATGGATTGGGGCAGTGAGTTCTGGATTCTTAAAGGGTAAATCCACTTTTGTAGGGAAAAAATGAGCAAAAAATTAAATAATAAAGCATATACAAATGCGACTCAAGTCATATTGTAATTGAATGTTATTAAAAATGACCTTTCATTTTTAATCTTCAGTGCTGTAATTTTCTGTAATACTACTTAGAGGTGTTCTGTACACAGAACGCCCCTGTAAATGTGATTTTCCTGCTTGTGTGATTGGCTCACTGATTTTTCCCAGAAGTCTACACTATGGTACAAATCAGATTTTTTGGCATCCCCTGCGACAAAAATGTAATTTTTGGTGAGATACTCCCAAAGGGAATTTGCATCTAAAAGCATGCAGACCCTGCCAATTTCCTCATTGGAGCACTGCAGTTGCAGCAGCTGACATAATTCTAAAACCACTCCCATACAGATTTCCTCTGCACATGGACACAGACAAACAAATATCTGTTTCTTCAGAATAGTAAAAGGTAGGAATCTGCATCAAAATGTGTTGGAAACCCTGCAATGTACATTGATATGAGAGAGAGAGTTTTTCTAACAAAAGTGGAGTTGCTCTTTAACATGATCAGAAAATCGGACGTAAAATACCACTTTCAAAGCAATTGTGTGATATGTTCTTATAGAACACCACTTTCGTCCGAAATTATTCAAAGGGACATACATGAACATTTGTTTTGTATCATACCAGATCGTACGGTTTTCATTTAATCTGTACAGTATTCGTCTGGAAAAAGAGCAAGACCACACATGCTCAGAAAATAAAGCACCTATTACACTACAACCTCCGAAGTTGTATTGTACAAGAATTTTTGTAACTTTAGTAACCTCTTCATTTTCGATATGAGACTAGTATGAAAAAAAAAATTGTACGATCATTCATCCGATCTTCTCATCATGTGTACCAGGCTTTAGTCTGGATACCCCAGTTAGGGTAACTCTGACAAGAGCAGCCTCATCGGGGCCTTCAAGCTGTAGAAAATGTTGGACATTCTACAGTATTGCACCATTTATTGGCATTCCAAGCACCTCTCCAGAATGTATTCTCGAGTCAAACATTGAGAAAATACAGGAGGAGAAAGCACAAAGATGGCCTTGTGTACGGCTGTTCCTCCTTGTCCTGACCACGGTTTAGCAGATGCAGCGTAGCTCAGCATGTGTATTCACATCTTTGTGTTCCCGTGCCTTAAGGGTAGGTACCTTGTTTACATTGCTGACGGGAGATGGAGTTATAATAGACATGAATGGGATGTCCCTTAATTGCAGGATCAATACATGTTTACTGAGATATTTATATTGTAAAGTGCTGAGCAAACTGTTGGCGCTATATAAATCCTGTATAATAATAACAAAGGATATAAAATCTGGGAAAACAAGGATTTTATTTAAAAATACAATTTTATGATCTAAAGTGAACAGCGTGAATGAAATTTTCAGTTACGTTTTTAAGGCAGTTGTAAAGAATACAGTTTTCATCCGCTTTTATAAATCCAGCAGTCAGCAGTTTCTGTGCCCAGAGCCCCTGTAATGTCCTTCCAGCATCACCACATTGCTGGCTTTGGGAGTTTGTAGTTGTCGTTGGTATATTGTATTTGCTGTGCCTCCCTGAACAGAGCACACTCATGGCGGGCATAATACATTGCAGGCTGCCATGTCTGCCACAGAGCTGGGGGCTGCGGGGTGTTTATTTCTTCACATCAACACTTGGATCTCCTTCCCTTTGTAATCCCCCCCCCTTTAATAAAATCAATACTATAGATGCTTGTAAAGCTGTTGGAAGCTGCAGGACAGTTGTTTGCAGCCTCATTTAACGTAGATACATCATCCCTGGGTCTGGCAGCCACATTCCCTGCTCTCTCTCTATCCGGATAATGAATTACGAAGGCAGGTGCGCTGGAGCTTTTCTGCGTGGGAGGCTCCTGCAGGAATTGGCTGCTTATTGCTTCTTTTACAGCTCTCAGTAATGTGTATCCGACACAGGGAGCCTAGTCTAGAGACTTGCGTTCCTAACAACTCGTTGCAATGTATAATAATGAAGCATAGGGGGTCGGCCATGATACAGAATCCAACAATGGCCACCTTTATTCAGAGCTGCCTACGTGTAAAGCAATAACCTGCGTTATATGCTAGAGGGATGTCAATTATCTTTAATTTGTATTATTTATCTTGTATTGTCATTAATTGCTATAAACCAATCCTATTAGACACTATAAAAAGCTGGGACTTTCCTTTCAATATTCATTTTCAAAATGCCCTTGTAATTGTAGTAGTTTAAGGCAAAAGTTCCCCGCAGTAGCATACCTCTGTGCCTCTCACGATGGTGACATTTTCCTCAATATTTTGCACTTCCTCCTGGCAGTATCAGGGTCATTGGATCGAATCCCAACCACTGCACCACCTACCTGGAGTTTGCATGTTCTCCCTGTGCCTGCGTTGGTTTTCTCCGGTTGCCTCCCACACGCCAAAGACATGCTGATAGGTAAATTGGCGTTAGTATGTGTATGTATGAAGGTAAGTTTAGGGACCTTAGATTGTACGCCCCTTGAGGGCAGGGACTAATGTAAATGTACAATATATATGTAAAGCGTAAATTGACAGTGCCATATAAGTACCTGAAATAAAATCTTTGACCCTCCCACAATGGGGAGATTTCCCCCCAGTAATTTGTGTCTCTGCCTCTCTCACAATGGGGAGACTTCCCTGCAGTAGTTTGTGTCTGCCCCTCCCACAATGGGATATTTCCCCCCAGTAATTTGTATCTCTGCCCCTCCCACAATGGGGAGAATTCCCCCCAGTAGTTTGTGTCTCTGCCCCTCCCACAATGGAGAGATTTCCCCCCAGTAGTTTGTCTCCTCCCCTCCCACAATGGGGAGATTTCCCCCCCCCCTAGTTTGTGTCTCCTCCCCTCCCACAATGGGGAGATTTCCCCCCCCCTAGTTTGTGTGTCTCTTCCCCTCCCACAATGGGGAGATTTCCCCCCCCTAGTTTGTGTCTCTTCCCCTCCCACAATGGGGAGATTTCCCCCCCCTAGTTTGTGTCTCTTCCCCTCCCACAATGGGGAGATTTTCCCCCCAGTAGTTTGTGTCTCTGCCCCTCCCACAATGGGGAGATTTCCCCCCAGTAGTTGTGTCTCTCCCCTCCCACAATGGGGAGATTTCCCCCCAGTAGTTTGTGTCTCCTCCCCTCCCACAATGGGGAGATTTCTCCCCCCCCTAGTTTGTGTCTCCTCCCCTCCCACAATGGGGAGATTTCCCCCCCCCTAGTTTGTGTCTCTGCGCCTCCCACAATGGGGAGATTTCCCCCCCAGTAGTTTGTGTCCCTGCCCCTCCCACAATAGGGAGAATTCCCCCCAGTAGTTTGTGTCTCCTCCCCTCCAAGGGGCCATAATGTAGGTGCCACTCTCACAGTGGGCTCTCCAGGTATTTGTCTATTCTGTATTATGGAATTGGATGGCAGATTTCATTAATGTTGGATTTGGTGTGGCTGCTGTGGTCAGGAAGCACTGGGGCAATTGGTTTTGCTGCCACTGAAGTCTCCAAGAGATGTGGAAAGTCGGCTTATGATTTGGCCTGTTGGCACCCAAACAGAGCTAAAAATGCTTTGGGTAGAATTGGCCTTTAAATAGATTTTGTTTTGTAATATTATCCGTTTTTCTCTGACAAGTGACGTGAATTGTCTGATAGCTATCCAAGCTCTGATCGTGGGATGGAGCGCCTGGAAGCTCTCCCGTCTTTTAGACTCATAAAAGCACATAATAAGAAAGCAGATCATGACTTGGATTGTCATCACACACTCCCGCTGACTTGACACATCCCGCCTCCACTCCCCATCCGCCCTATACATCAGGCAGGTGTGACCCGGTCCAGCCCGAACCATCCACCATCAAATCAATGATGGAGGAGCAGCAGATGGAGCTGCTCTGCTCCCTATAAATCATTGGCACGTGGAATGAGATTTCAGATATGTCATAAAATATAGTGTTTTCAGCCAGAATTATGTTACAGGAAGACTAAAAATATCTGCTATTCACTCATCATAATGAGAATATGTTCTGTGTCTGCGGTCTATGCGATTGTTTCATTACAGCTGGATAGGAGGCACAGTGAATGCAGGATTAAAGAAAACATGGAAGCCCCAACTGGATGGTGTTTGGCTCGCTCTGTGCGCCATGTATTGTAACCAACTGCTAAATGTTAATATATACATCAAGTGTAGCGCTTAATAAAGTGACAAATGATTAGTGAAAAATGAGTCATACAAAAATAGTCATCAAAAAATTCAAGTAAAGAATAAGTCCCCAGAGGCTGTGATGAAACAAAGGAAATCCAAGGACAGTTGTGTCACCAACCACTCATATGAAAGGCATGACCCCCTGTTAACATGGAAGCCCCAACTGGATGGTGTTTGGCTTGCTCTGTGCACCATGTATTGTAACCAGCTGCAAATTGTTTATGTAAAATACAAATCACCCTTTTGTTTTTTTTTGTTTTTTTTTTCCTTTTTTACATCTCAGTGCTTCTGTTCTCCTGTTGCCTTTTAACCATCACTTCCTGACTTCATGCACTAGAGCAGGGATGTCAAACTGGCGGCCCTCCAGCTGTTACAAAACTACAAGTCCCATCATGCCCCTTCCTTTGGGAGTCGTGCTTGTAACTGTCAATCTTGCAATGCCTCATGGGACTTGTAGTTTGGCAACAGCTGGAGGCCCATCAGTTTGACACCCGTGCACTAGAGCAATGACTGCATAGCTTTTCTCAGGACAGGTTCCTGCTGGTGCCTACAATGGACCATGCTTATATAATGTGTGTTGAATTGGACACCATCGGAAGCCTGTGTGCCAGGGACACTATGCAGTAGCTCATAGTTACCCTATAACAGGAAATGTCTGAGCGATGCTCTTCATGACAGGATCACCAGGGATTATTTTTCTTAAAAAAGCTGCAGATTTAAAAATTGTGAAAATTAGAAACGACATAGAGTTAAAGCTGAACTCTGAGATAAGCAAACAAGAATCATGTATTCTTCCTTGAATCTTGGTGTGCTTTGTGTATGTCTTCCAGATATGTGCAGTAATCCAGTGTGGAACATTACCTTGTGCAGGAGCTTCCTGTAATAAAGACCGCTCACTACTGCCCTTCCTCCTTGTGCAGGGTGACTGGTCTTCTCCGCCCCTCCTTTAGTTTTCTGCAGGCAGCCTGTAGTTGGTGGAGCCTGCTGGGCCCCTCCCACAGCTCTGCTTTCTGCCCAAGATCTGTATAGTGCAGTGATGATGTAACTGCTATGTTTACAATGTGATATCTGGCACTTAGTGCACACAAAGTGGATTTTACTTCCTTTGTTGCTATTTTAGCAATTTATTTAACTGCACATTTTTTTTTTAGACTAGAGTTTTTATCTTTGTTAGAGAGTCTAGTGATTGTGTTACATTTCTACTTTAATGTGAATTGTCATGTCATTGTCACTGCACATTGGAAGATTCAATTCTGCACGTAGCCCTTGTCGCTGCTGGGCGTCCCACTCTAGAAGCCAAGGTTACTGAGTGCAGCCTATGAATTCTTTGGATCAGGTTTATTTCTTCTAAAAAGCAAAAGTATCTTTTGATGTGTGTGGAGAAATGTGGCTTTGTAGACTGTTATGACCCCGGAACATATTCCCCCATGACTGCATTGGCATACTTGTGCAATGTTAAAGTTGTTCTAAAGAACAGCCTTTTTTATAATATGTTACATATATGCTGGATGAGATCAACAGCACTGAGATGTAAGAAAAGAGAAAAAAGGTGATTTGTATTTTACATTACAAATCAGCAGTTTGTGTGTATATGGGTGTAACCTGTTATGAAAGGTGTACGTCTCCTTTAAATGCATTTTCTGCTTTCAAGTGCATCTTCATTCTGTCACTCGGCATGAATTATTTTTAATCCTTCTGCTGGTAGCATTAGTAAATGGGTAGGAAAGTATATCATTTTAAAGCGGAGTTCCAGTTGAATAAAAAAAAAAAAAATAGAAGTCAGCAGCTACAAAAACTGTAGCAGCTGACTTTTAAAATACAGCCACTTACCTGTCCCTCAGTTCAGCGGTGTCCTCACCACGGCTGGTTTCATTGGCTGTCTTCTCTCCCAGGTGCCAGCATCTTCAATGTGGCGACCCGGCTGTGACAGCTTGCAGCTTCACAGCCGGGTGCCCACTGCACACGCTCAAGTAACGCTGCGCTTTGTGAATGGGCCCATAGTCTTCTGGGACCTGTCATATGTCCCAGAAGACTACACGGAGGGAGGGGAGGACAACTTTAGCTTCTGATCGCCTTTGTGATGTCCCCCCCCCCGCTCTTCAAAAGTGCAATCCTTAATGGAACTTCCCCTTTTGGGTGGAGCTCTGCTTAAATTAGAAGGGGCTTTCTTGGCTGTATGCCTGAGCTAAAGTTAGATGGATTCCAGGAAGTAAATGCTGCATAAATCGTCTGCCCTGACTCAAGATGGCCACAGCTAGAAGTGCTGGGGGGGGGGGGATTTCAAAGTGATTTCTCAGCAAATTAAAGCATGGAGACATGGATGGATGGGGGAGTTTGCTGTAAATAATTAAAAATGAATTAAATAGCATTTTTTTGTTTGTAGAGCTCATGTGGCCAGGATCCCCAGCCCCCCTTATACTTACCTGAGCCCCATCTCGTTCCAGCACTCTGCATCAGAGCAGAGGATCTCTTCCTTCTCTCCTTCACAAGACAGATTGATAGCAAGGGAGTCATTTTAACCCGTAAAAGCCCACACCCCAGCATCTGGGGGCCAATGCCATCACTGCCCCGTTCATGTGAATAGTTGGGGTTTGTTTAGCATCAGCAGTATGTGTATACCCTGGTACAGCTGCCGTTGCTGCTTAAGTGGGGCAGTAAAAACACCACCCAACCACCTGTTTTTAAAAATGGTGATTGATTAGTTTTTGAGCGCATGCTTGTTGTATATTGAATATATGTGTGCATTAAATGATAGACAGAAGCCATCCTGTGATCCATCATTGTATTGAATATGTGCTGGGAGCTAAGACCGTTGAGGGCCAAATGTGGCACCCAAGCTTCTGGCTGGAGACCATGGATTAGGCCTTTCCTGTGTAAATCAAAGCACTGTATAGATGGCAGTAATCTCTCAACCAATCAGAATTCAGATCACATTGCTCTCAGATTGATGACAGGTGAGAGATTGTTGTTCTGAGTAACTATACAAATCAAGCCAATCCATAGACGTCAGTCAGAAATAGATGGACCCTTACAGCCAATGGTCAGCTGATATCCGTTTTCCCCTCGAATGACAGCACATCACCCCAGCCCCTTACATGTTTATCTGTTTGTGAAGTGCTAATGGCTTCACTTGTACTGGAATATGAACACTGACCCTGTCCTCTTTGTTTGCAGCCATGTTGCCCAGGCTGTGTAAGTTGTGTCTGAGGAGAAGTACAGAAAACAGGTGAGAGCTCGGTGTTGAGCTCCTGCACATAAGAGCAATCACTGTCTACAAGAGATATCCAACATGGATGCCAAACAGGAAGGTCCTCATGTATGGCCGCGTACAGAAGAGCATCAGCCCAGCACTGCCCAGGTGAGCCTCTACAGATACAAGTTCATGCTTACAGTGTAACTCCACTTTTGTTGAAAAATGAAAAAACAATCCCCTTTTGGGGATATCTATGTACATTGCAAGGATTTTGACAAACTTTGTTTTGGATTCCCACCTTATACTATGCTGAAGAGGAAGGAGGAGATAATACATGAATCATCTGTTTGTTAGTTCCAGCTTAGCAGATCCAAAGGTTGTGGGATCATTTTTAACCCTTTCGCCCACCCATCAATTCCCATCCCCCAGTATATCTTAGTTCAATCCTGTATAGTGACCTGTATATTATCCCATTCACCTCATTTATCCTGTACAATAACTCTCTCCTCTCCATCTTCCCACTGTAAGTGACCTGTACATTTAGTGCTTGTTCACACAATTTCTTTACTAGAAAATACAAGTCTCTGCATGGGCACCCAGAAAACAAATGTTTACTCCCTGTTCACCATAGAATTGTTAAAGGAAAAAAAAAAAAAAGTATTGTAAAAAGACCAGATTTGTGCAGCTTTTCGCTGGGAAGATCAGTGTCCTGCTGTTTCTCTCCCTCTTGCTGACATGCCCCTACTGCAGTCCCCACCCCCACCTCTCTGAGCCTCTTATGCAGCTGAGAACAGAGGTGACCGTGTGATAATATAAACGAAAAAAAAAAAACAAAAACCAACAGATACAGTGGGGATCGAAAGTTTGGGCACCCCAGCTAAAAATTTGTATTAATGTGCATAAAGAAGCCAAGGAAAGATGGAAAAATCTCCAAAAGGCATCAAATTACAGATTAGACATTCTTATAATATGTCAACAAAAGTTAGATTTTATTTCCATCATTTACACTTTCAAAATAACAGGAAACAAAAAAATGGCGTCTGCAAAAGTTTGGGCACCCTGCAGAATTTATAGCATGCACTGCCCCCTTTGCAAAGCTGAGACCTGCCAGTGTCATGGATTGTTCTCAATCATCGTCTGGGAAGACCAGGTTATGTCAATTTCAAAGGTTTTAAATGCCCAGACTCATCTGACCTTGCCCCAACAATCAGCACCATGGGTTCTTCTAAGCAGTTGTCTAGAAAACTGAAACTGAAAATAGTTGACACTCACAAAGCTGGAGAAGGCTATAAGAAGATAGCAAAGCGTTTTCAGATGTCAATATCCTCTGTTCGGAATGTAATTAAGAAATGGCAGTCATCAGGAACAGTGGAAGTTAAAGCAAGATCTGGAAGACCAAGAAAAATATCAGACAGAACAGCTCGCAGGATTGTGAGAAAAACAATTCAAAACCCACGTTTGACTGCACGATCCCTCCAGAAAGATCTGGCAGACACTGGAGTTGTGGTACACTATTCCACTATAAAGAGATACTTGTACAAATATGGTCTTCATGAAAGAGTCATCAGAAGAAAACCTCTTCTACGTCCTCACCACAAAAATCATCGTTTGAACTTTGCAAATGAACATATAGACAAGCCTGATGCATTTTGGAAACAAGTTCTGTGGACCGATGAGGTTAAAATTGAACTTTTTGGCCGGAATGAGCAAAGGTACGTTTGGAGAAGAAGGGGCACAGAATTTAATGAAAAGAACCTCTGTCCAACTGTTAAGCATGGGGTTGGATCAATCATGCTTTGGGGTTGTGTTGCAGCCAGTGGCACAGGGAACATCTCACGAGTAGAAGGAAAACTGGATTCAATAAAATTTCAGCAAATTTTGGATAGTAACTTGATGCCATCTGTGAAAAAGCTGAAGTTAAAGAGAGGATGGCTTCTACAAATGGATAATGATCCTAAACACACCTCGAAATCCACGGGGGATTACATCAAGAGGCGTAAACTGAAGGTTTTGCCATGGCCTTCACAATCTCCTGACCTCAACATAATTGAAAATCTATGGATAGACCTTAAAAGAGCAGTGCGTGACAGACAGCCCAGAAATCTCAAAGAACTGGAAGACTTTTGTAAGGAAGAATGGGCAAAGATACCTCAAACAAGAATTGAAAGACTCTTGGCTGGCTACAAAAAGCGTTTACAAGCTGTGATACTTGCCAAAGGGGGCAGTACAAGATATTAACTCTGCAGGGTGCCCAAACTTTTGCAGACGCCATTTTTTTGTTTTCTGATATTTTGAAAGTGTAAATGATGGAAATAAAATCTAACTTTTGTTGACATATTGTAAGAATGTCTAATCTGTAATTTGATGCCTTTTGGAGATTTTTCCATCTTTTCTTGGCTTCTTTATGCACATTAATACAAATTTTTAGCTGGGGTGCCCAAACTTTCGATCCCCACTGTATATATTCATTCATACATGCATACACACAAATGTTTTACCTTTAACTACTATTTTAAACTGAATGGGTTGTTTTACAAGGTGAGGGTTTACATATACTTTGAGGAATCCCAAGATGGAATTCCAGCACAGAAGGTTAATCGGATCCTATCTAAATTGGCCCTAGTATGTGTATGTATGAATGTGAGTTAGGGACCTTAGATTGTACACCCCTTCAGGGTTAGGGACTGATGTGAATGTACAATATATATGTAAAGCGCTGCGTAAATTGACGGCGCTATATAAGTACCTGAAATAAATAAATAAGGACTAAGCACACTAACCCCTCTGCTGTGGAGTTGGTGATTTCATATCTTAGATGGAGTCTTCATTTGTAACCTTCCTGTTCACAGTCTCACTGCTGTGCCTTTCAAACTCCTCTCACTATATGACTCTGGTCATTTGTGAAGTCCCTGCTGCCTCTGTCTTGTTACAACTCTTCTAACCCGACATGAAGTCTCGCCGTGCATTACCCTAGTAACTGTCGGGTGTACATGCTGAGCGGCAATTACAAGACAAACCCTGGCTCGCTAGAGAAGGGACCGAGTGTTCACAGAAGTGTCATCTCTGGCCACAGGGACTGTTAACTTGCAGAAATGAAGACAGGCTCCCAAGTGACAACGAGGTTCTTACAGGTGAAAGGTTGTAGAAATCTGTCATAAACTAAAGAAAAAGGACACAATTTTGGACAGTGATAATATTCATTATATTCATGAAAACTGCATATCACTTGGTGTATCTTGGAAAGACTCGTGGTTGCTCTGTTGCTCCATGTTGGAGTTTTGGAAACGTGATAACATTTTTAATAAGAATTTGTGAAGGATGTACCCAGTAAGTTCAGATGGAGGCACTGCATGTTCATATAAATGTTTCAACAAAATATTTTTGTAAGTAATATAATCTTTCAATATTGTCTTGTGTTATGTTAAAGAGGAATCATTTTTGTTAAAAATAATTTTTTTAAATTTTTTTTTAGAAAATGTTATTCCTTAATGTGCTAGTATCCACTGCATAGCATATTATGACAGACGTACCTGTCACAGGATACCCTTCAATGCTGTCTGTATGGGAGCACTCCCATCTCCTCTCAGTCTTTCTTAAGGGTTTGCACTGTTTGGCCATTTGAATGGCCGGGGTGTGATGATGTTAGTCCTGTGCATGTGCATGGGAGTCATTTCTTCAATCCACACAGCAGGTGTCGTAAATGTATTATGAGCTGCGCATGTGCACTTCAGTGTACAATACCACTCACAGGCAGGAGAAGCCTTAATGAAACCATTAGCACATGGGCGCTGAGGCCTGTAGACTGTGACTGGGCCATTTGTCTATGCGGCTTGGGCCACTAGGTGCTAGGTGCATGCAGCCCAGGTAGGTGAACGGGAATGCAGGAGCTGCACGGATACAGCTGCTCATCCTAATTTGACAGGTGTAAGTGCAAGTGGCCTTGAACACACACTGTCTACTTTTACGGCCTACGGGCCTCAGTACCCATGTGAATGAGGCCTTAAAGTTGATCTTCCCTTCAGTCTGAAGGAGTCAACTCCATTTTCTTGCTATGACAAACGACTGATTCTTATTTCTGTTGCTGCCTGCAGGTGCATTTTGTTCCAGATGGTGGCACTGTGGCACAGATTGTATACAGTGATGATCAAGATCGCCCCTCGCAGCAGGTGGTGTACACGGCAGATGCCTCATCATTCACATCGGTGGATGCCTCTGAACACACCTTGGTCTATATCCACCCTGTGGATGGCTCTCAGGTAATTGTTGATGATGGGAAAGGAACACAAACACTGTAAAATAACTTTTTACTAAATGAATAAAATTAGTTTTTGTTTTTTTTCTTTCCAAGGCTCTCTTCACAGATCAGCCGCAGGTTGCTTATGTTCAGCAAGATGCTACTACCCAGCAGGTACCATTCCTCTATTAACCAGTTGACCTACAGAGGATTTACCCCCTTCCTGACCAGGCCATTTTTTGCCATAGGACGCTGCGTTACTTTAACTGACAATTGCAACGCTGCACCCAAATGAAATGTATGTCCTTTTTTCCCCATTATTAGAGCTTTCTTTTGGTGGTATTTGATCACCTCTGTGTCTTTTATTTTTTGCGCTATAAACAAAAAAAGACCGACAATTGAAAAAAAAATTATATATTTTTGACTTTTTGCTATAAAACATAGAGTAAATAAATGTAAGAAGTCAAGTTTCATCATAAATTTAGGACAAAATGTATTCTGCTACATATCTTTACTAGAAAAAAAAAAAATCCCAATACATGTAAACTAATTGGTTTACGTGAAAGTTTTAGCGCCTACAAATGGTGGTATATATACTGGAATTTTATTTTCTAATTTTTTTTGTAATGGTGATGAGCAGCGACTTATATCAGAACTGCAGTGGGCATTCTGACACTTGGGAGGAACTAACTGCCACTGACATCCCCGGTGACACTAATACAGTGATCAGTGCTAATAAAAAGCATTGACACTGTACTAATGACACTGGGCAGGAAGGGGTTAACATCTGGGGCGATTAAAGGGGTTATCTCCTAGATTGTAAGCTCGAAAGAGCAGGGCCCTCGAACCCCTCGTGTGCTGTTTTGTTACTGTATTGTCTCATGTTCTGTCCCCCACTATAATGTACAGCGCTGAGCAAACCTTTTGGCGCTGCATAAATACTGTATAATAATAATAATAACGGTGTGTTTTACTGTGTGCTGTGTTTACTAGGCAAACAAGCTGCTTTGTATTGCTCTGTTGTGCAGAGCAATACAAAGCAGCCTGTTTGTGCTGACAGGGGAGAGATCTGTGTTGTTTACACACAGACCTCTCCCCTTTCACTGTTCCTCAGCGATCGCCGGGTGTCGGCGGGGAATCTCCAGCTGGGACCTGGTGATCGACAGCTGTAGCTGCCAGTGGCGGCACGGGTAGGGTGGCGTGCGCTTGCCCCCTACCCAGAAATGCAAAATCATGTATGTATGATTTTGGTTAACAAGTGTCTATCACATTAATATAAAAATTAAAACACAGTAAGATGTCATCAAATGGAAACATAAAAAAAATCAAAGACTTGAAGGCATTATGTTGCAAAGAAATTACAATTTCCATAAATGTCATCTTCTAATATCTTTGTGCAATATGTGACATCATAAATATACACTGGTGACAAAACAATTGTGACCTCCATCTTCCCCAGTGGGCACACCATCACCTTAAATAGAAATTGAATTAAAGCCAGAACATGGCCAATTTCATAGGCAGATTCAGCTCACTTGATGCAGAGACCTTCCAGCATGATGATGAACTCAACAGGATAAAAGTAAACCATAATAATAACATCCAACAGTTTTATTATAAAGATAAAAGTTACACGTGTTTAAAAACAATCAGGCACGTCAGTCAGAGCTGTGAAAATGTGGAATAGACTCCTTCAAGAGTTGGTTCTGGCCAGCTCAGTGGACTGCTTTAAAAAAGGCCTGGATTCTTTCTTGGATACATAGAATATAACTGGATTAACATTTATAGGTAAAGTTGATCAGGGAATATCCAATTGCCTCTCGGATCAGGAAGGAATTTTTTTCCCTGCAGGAGCAAATTGGATCATGCTTTGATGTTTTATTTTTTTTTTTTGCCTGCCACTGGATCAACTGTAGGTATAGGATTATAACAATTTTTTTTTTTTTTTGAACTGGATGGACTTTTGTTTTTTTTTCAGCCAGACTAACTATGTAACTATCTAGTGACTGCAGGAAAACATCGGCTGGTGCATTACAGACTCATCTCATGTTGGTGTCTTTGTTCCAGGTGACTGTGCTGCTTCCTGCTTCCCAGAGCATGAACGCCGCTAACCTGGCTGTTCTCAGCAGTGTCCCCGAGTCTGCCCAAGCTATGTCGTTGGAGCCTATGTCACAGGTAAGTCTAGGCATTGTATAGGTTAGCTGGAGATGTGCATACATTTCTGAAATAAAGCTGGTAAGAGAACTCCAGCTAGAAAGAGGAACTGAATTCTGGAAGCTATTAAAAAAACAAATGGCACGGAAAGAGCAAAGAACTGACACACAATGCCTTGTGCTGCACTGTGTCTCTGTGTAGAGGTGGCTAGCTTTGTAGAGGAGCAGTGCTTTAATGTCTTATAGCAGAACTGCACCCCTGGTGACTAGTGATCTGATGACTGGTGGGCTAATGATAGAGGTGGAGGAAGCACAGTTGCACAGAATGAATGAAGCAGAGAGATCCTTGCACTGCAAGTCCTTGGGTACAAATACCTCCCAAGCAAGGAGAACCATGAGCAGTGCAGGAGTGACAGCCACAATTCTGTTGAGACTAGCAGTCAGAGGCAGCAGTGCCTTAGATGAACTCGCACTGAAGATATAAAGTTATGAGGATACAGAGCAGGAATGCCAAAGTACAGGATGTGCACTGTTTCTGACAAAAATTAGATTTTTCAGGGCACATCCCTGACGAAGGGGTCCTGCATGACTTGAAATGTTGCACTATCTGCACTATGATGTGATCTTTTCACTAAAAACTTGGACTTTAAATATCTATGGTGTTCTGCCTACATGTTTCTCCAGTGTTTTTTATACTGGTTAAGCAGCCAGCAATTGCTACAGCACCCTTTAAAGCAGACCTTCCCCCATTGCCCACGAAAATGATTCCCCATATGCCAGTTACCTTTATTGATTGGTTACCCAGGATAAACACACTTACAGGCCCAGTGAATCCTACCTTCCCCACCGCTCCTGCACTACATGTCCCATTCGAATTGTGGGTGGCCGCTGCCGTTGGAGCAGTGGTTGACCTTGTCGGCAACTTCCCATTTGACATGCTTCCATCTAAAAATCAAAGGACCCAGGAGGAAAATTGTTTGCTAAGCAGTGGCTGCATCTAATCAGATGCAGCCGCTGTATGGTTATTCTGCCAGCTGTCAAAATACAATAGCCTGTTCCAGGGGATTCCCCTGTTTTGCGTGGATAGAGGCATTGATTAATTTCTCTTGCTTGGTCCATGGGGCTGAAGAAAGAAATCTGTATGGCCAGCTTAAAGGAGACGTACAGCCAAAGCTCTTTTGGCTTTACTTCTCCTGTGGATGACAGGAGTGCAGTTTGTTCTGCACCCCTGTGACCCCTTTTTAACTGACAGTGGGCTGAAGCCCGCAGTCAGCTAACATTGCTTAGCTGGTCCAGGCTAGGGAAAGATCCTGAATTTAAAGTCGGGATCCACCCCAGAGTCTGGAGCAGCACCTGGCTCAGCCTCACAGTGAGCGCTGGGGGTGCTGAGCATACATCGGTGACTGAGAGTCCCGCTCTCGGCTCAGAGAGAGAACTCTGTGATCAGCAGTCATGTGATTGCTGGATTCTCACCCTTGGAGCCAGCAGGGAACAGTTACAGCATCGGACTGATGCTGCATCCACCTAGGTAAGTATAAAAATAGGGAAAAAAAAGCCCTAACTTCAGGATGTTACATTGTATGTGGAGTTAAGCAGTCGGAGACTTGAGGCCAAATGCCTGGTGCCAAGGTGTCTGGCTAATTCCTGGAACTGAATACAATGAATCCTGTGCTCCCTGCTGAGCAGGTATGAGCTCAGGTGTGTTCAGATACTTCTCCAAACCCACCTCAGCTATCCTGCCAGGAAGCTGTGACTGCTGACTGCCAATCATAAGCCAAGGGGCATGTATACGTGCGGCTGTGGGGCGGGGAATGCCTTAGCTGCTTATGATTGGCAGTCCACAGTGACAGCTTCCTCATGTGTATATACTCCTCTCGGTTGCTTGTGATTGGCGGTCGGTGGTGACAGCTTTTTGGTGGGATAGCTCAGGCAGGTTCAGCATATTATCCAAACACGCCTGAGCTCATCCCTGCTGCTGAGAAGCCCCACCTTCTGTTAGCCCTCCTGTGTAGGGACAGGAATTAATTGATCAATTATGTCAATCACTTGACTGAACTATTCATTGACAAGTTCTTAATGTAGCATATGTTTAATAGAGGCAGCTGGTTTTACTAAATCTTATTAAATCTAGTAATACCTGTTACAATGGGCTTTTAAAGGATAAGATCACCTTTTCGTGGGGAAAACACACACACACACACACACACACAACACACACACACACACACACACACACACACACACACACACACACACACACACACACACACACACACACCACACACACACACACACACACACACAAAAAAGTCTGCACACCCCTGTTAAAATGTCAGGTTTCTGTGATGTAGAAAAACAAACTGAAATCTTTTAGGGGGAGAAGTAAACAGAAAAAACTAAAATAATATGGTTGCATATGTGTGCACACCCTCTTATAACTGGGGATGTAATTTTGTTCATAATTAAGCAATCACATTCAAAATCATGTTAAATAGGAGTCAGGACACACTTGCCATCATTTAAGGTGCCTCTGATTAACCCCAAATAAAGTTCAGCTGTTCTAGTAGGTCTTTCCTGACATTTTCTTAGTCGCATCCTACAGCAAAAGCCATGGTCTGCAAAAAGCTTCCAAAGCATCAGAGGGATCTCATTGTTAAAAGGTATTAGTCAGGAGAAGGGTACAAAAGAATTTTCAAGGCATTAGATATACCATGGAACACAGTGAAGGCAGTCGTCATAAAGTGGAGAAAAAATTGGTGCAACAGTGACATTACCAAGAACTGGACGTCCCTCCAAAACTGATGAAAAAAATTAGAAGAAAACTGGTCTGGGAGGCTGCCAAGAGGCCTACAGCAACATTAAAGGAGCTGCAGGAATATCTGGTAAGTACTGGCTGTGTTGTCCATGTGACACTTTCCCGTATTCTTCATATGTCTGGGCTATGAGGTAGAGTTGCAAGACGGAAGCCTTTTCTTACGAGGAAAAACATCCAAGCCCGGCTAAATTTTGCAAAAACACATCTGAAGTCTCTCAAAAGCATGTGAGAAAATGTGTTATGGTCTGATGAAACCAAGGATGAACTTTTTGGCCATAATTTCAAAAGATACGTTTGGCGCAAAAACAACACTGCACATCACCAAAAGAACACCACACCCACAGTGAAGCATGGTGGTGGCAGCATCATGCTTGGGGCTGTTTTTCTTCAGCTGGAACTGGGGCCGTAGTCAAGGAAGAGGGAATTCTGAACAGTTCCAAATACCAGTCAATATTGGCACAAAACCTTCTGGCTTCTGCTAGAAAGCTGAACATGAAGAGGAACTTCATATTTCAGCATGACAACAACCCAAAGGAATGGCTTCACCAGAAGAATATGAAAGTTTTGGAATGGCCCAGCCAGAGCCCAGACCTGAATCCGATCGAAGATCTGTGGGGTGATCTGAAGAGGACTGTGCACAGGAGATGCCCTTGCAATCTGACAGATTTGGAGTGTTTTTGTAGGGAAGAGTGAGCCATGCTGATAAACTTATACCCAAAAAGACTGAGTGCTGTGATAAAATCAAAAGGTGATTCAACAAAGTATTAGTTTAAGGGTGTGCACACTTATGCAACCATATTCGTTTTTTATTTTTACTTCCCTCCACCTAAAAGATTTCAGTTTGTTGTTCAAGTGAGTTGTACAATTTATAGGTCACATTAAAGGTGGAAAAAGTTCTGAAATGATTTATTGTTGGCTCATTTTTTTACATCACAGAAACCTGACATTTTAACAGGGGTGTGTAGACTTTTTATATCCATTTTTTGTGTGTGTGTAGATTGAGAGAGTTCACATTACAGCCTGTAAAGCATAGCACCTGTGATCAGCAGATTGCGCTGTTTTTAATTTGTGACAGTGGATGAGGGAATAAGATCCCTCACCCGCTGTCACAGGGAGGGGAGTACTGATGGGGGAAGTTGGGTGCATAGGAGCACATAAAATGTTACACCTCAAATATGGGTGTAAGATGTAACATGCTTTGAAAGGTGAACTTCTCCTTTAACCACTTCAAGTCCGGACACTTTCACCCCCTTCCTGCCCAGGCCAATTTTCAGCTTTCAGCGCTATCACACTTTGAATGACAATTGCGCGGTCATGCACCACTGTACCCATATGAATTTTTTAGCATTTTGTTGAGACGGATAAAATTTTATTTTGGTGGCATTTATTCACCACTGGGATTTTTATTTTTTTCTGCTATATAAATGAAATAGTTCAAACATTTTGAAAATAAGTGTTTTTCTTATAAAATGTTGCAAATAAATAATCTTTCTTCATAAATCTTGGCCAAAATTTATTCAGTTATCTTTTTAGTAAAAAAAAGAATAACCCAAATACTATACTGATACTTTTTTTTTAAAAAAAAAAATTTAAATTTATATTTTTATTTTTTATGATTATTTGTGGTTTTTTTTTTTTTTTAACATACTGTCACCCTAGCAGTACAGTGTCACCATGGTGACACTGTACTACTTGTGGGGGGTTATGAAGATTTTTTATTTTTTTTACACTGATTGCTTTTACACCCATAAAGGATGTAAAAGCAATCATTTCTCCTCTCTGGCTACATTCTTGCAGCCATTGAGAAATACTGTGTGAGCTGTGATTGGTCGCTGCTTGTCACATGGTACAAGGTTGTTGTGAATAGTTTGTTCATTTTTTTCAGAGCTATAGGGGTGTGTGTGTGTTTGTGTTCGTCATTTTCATTACCCATGATGTAAATCATACAGCCTGCAGCTCTTTTGACGTGGATATAGGAAGGGCTCACTGGTTGGGTTTGCTGCAGAATTTAGTTACATATTATGAGAATTATTATACAGCCTGCCACTATGCAGCTTCTTCCAATGAACTGCCATTGTTGCAAACACTGGAAAGGCTCACCACTGCTGCATTCGGTGCAGTTAGTTACATATTGTATAAATTATACAGCATGCAGCTCTGCACCTTTTTTCATTGTTGCAAATACAGAAAAGTCTCGCTGCTTGCAT